ACGAACGCAATAAGCTGTATCGCCTCATCAAGTATGCAACGGGGCAGCCCGTTACATGAAAATTTTCTTTGAGAAGAAATTGACAATAGATAATGTTACGTTGAATATTATTTTAACAGTATCAGAAGCATGGTGCTATTGTTAGGATGACCGAAGAGTTTACTCATTGGTTGATATCGCAATGATGTCAACCCACCAATCGCTGCTAGACGCGCGCAATGGGTGGTGAGTAGACGTCATCATGCATTTGGTTACATTAGTATAACTGAGTCAGGACAAACAGAGATACAAGAGTTTTAGGACTTAATTATATTAATAACAGTTTTACTTTTCCTACGACTAAAGTCTTTCACCTTAGTCGTTCTATCTTTCTCTGTGTAGCTCTACACCTAGCTGGGCACTGACTATCACTACATTCAGTGATAGTAAACTCCGTACTGGTTCCCCAGTACGTAGTCGTCGGTCCCCGTTTCAAAGTAGAAAACGCACGACAACTGACGATTGAATGTGTGTGCCGCGCGTGGCCGTTTGTTTATCGTGCTTACCTTTCTTCACGTTTGCTCGCTTATATCTAGCACTCACCCCGTCAAGCGATGGCAAACATTGTCAGTGCTACGTTTGGTTGGCGTTGGTGCTTCAACTAACTATTCTAGTCGTAGAGACTGAGAGTAAAGGCTCTGGCATGTTCACCTAAGATGAAGATGCCAGAGACTGTAATCTGCATTGCAGTACACTCGATGCAACTATTAGGGCTAAGAATTCAACTTAGGAGTATGCTCTGACCACATCGGACTTTAATATATGATCCTACAAGCTCTCGTGTGGCGAACATGCGTTGGACCGATGACAGCAGCACTTGCTTTCTGTTATTTCAACAATTTGACCGTTTTGACCACGCCGTTTTTCGACAGATGTAAGTGCTCGCAACGATGCTAATTATATGTTGCATGAACTTGACGACCGTGGTATGCATCTCGTCATCTCTAGGGCGACGAACATGACACTAATAGCTTATCTATCGAGACAGAGCCCATATGCCCGACCGCTTTCCATTCGAGGTCGCCTGAATGTGAAACGACTTCGCGCGTAGCATGAAAGATATTCTCACCCGCGATATCATAGAGAATAATTTCTTGAATTTAGGTGGTAGAAGAAGAGGCACAAGGCGAAACAGGAAAATACATGCATGCATGCAGCAGACAATCATAGCTTTGAATTTGACTACAGTGTAGTAAGATGCTGCGATTTGTACATGCAAATACGTACAGAGGAAGCTCATAGGCTAACGAATACGCTAGTCAGATGTAGCCGATGATCGAATAAAATATAGTGAAGCATTGTAGTACAAACCTAACCTAAACTTCTTTGCCTTGTATTGATCTGAACACAAACTGCTAGTTTTTGTTCTCGTTACAATGTAGCTAATTCTTTTCATTACAGATGAATTGTACTACCATAAATCGGTTTGAATAGTCGTTGCCTATATTTGTGTACACAAGGGATGAAAGTAATACACTACAAGATGGAGGTTCTAGAAGTGATGCATTAACGATCACATCATTAAACAAAGCGCACACGATTGCGACTATACGACCGGCTAAATACATGCTTGGGATCAAATATATTTATTCACGCATGTCGTCTTCATTCCTTCCCACGTCACTCGGTCGCGGAAAAGATAATTAGTGTTCTAGTATATCCTTACTAAAACGCTAGCTACCTTTTCCGCTACGGACTCTTTACAAAAAGAAAAGGGTACGGTGCTACTTTAAGCTTGCTCTAAAGTGTTCTTAAACTTCGATCATAAGGTCATGGTGCCTACGTTACAAATATATAGTACGGTGTGACATTGTAGTGTGTGTAGCTGTCGTCTTGGCGGTACCGCTGTAAGTAGATAAGACGAGAAAGCGTCGTGTAATAATGTTTCATACACAATGCTGTGCAAGATGTTGAATGTACGACCCGATGCATCATATGAAAACGGATGTCAATAACGATAAAAGACGACAAGATATTGGATAGCCGAAGAAATGGTTATAGTCCTATCGCAGGTGGTATTGCGGAAACATAAGGTGGGCTGCACGCTTACAAGGCGCAATGATTTGAGAATGTTACGTCCACCATACTTGAGAGGCTGCTGATTTTCATACCGATGTTGGTGTTGATCTTGCTTTCGCAGTATGGGTGTAATGAAGCTAGATGCATGATCGCTATCTGGAGTGAGGGAGAGACTACAAACAAGCGCAGCAGTTCGAGTCTGTCTACCCATTGAACACGTAGAAAAGCAATTCAGCACTTCGCTAAGCTGCATTCTTGACATGACCACCCTACCCGCCGAGGACACGCGACCTGTACAGTTTTTGACACTGGTATGTCAACAACCTACACGCTTATCTGAATGAGCGACGGAGACAAAAGACTGATCCGGCACCCTCGATGTCGCCCGGTCTGCCCTTATATACAATGAGGAGCGACACTTTCGCAAACACCATTAGATACCAACACAATTGTCCATGTGATCTCTTACATCTGTACATCCGGTCGTAGAGTACACATCAGTGCTGCATTGCTTAATCTCTACTGACTAAGTACATCTTGTTATCTTCTTATCCCGCAATTTCTTTTTTATTGTAAAATGCACTTTTTAGTTTATTCATCTTATGATTTATTGCTTTCATCATACTGACTGAGTGCATCTTTTCATTTCTTTATCTTGTAATGCATTTTTGTGGATATTTGAATCTTTTTAGGTTTTTCCATCTGGTTGTGCATTGCTTTTTTATCTCTGAGTATAATGAGCAAATATTCATGTTCTCATCTTGTGGTGCATTTTTGTGAATATTTGGGAAAATAAAAAAAATGCCGCGTTAAATCACGAAAATAAAAAATGCCCCAGATAATTGGAAAATAAAAAAATGCCCCACGTCCTGAAATACTCAACGCAGCACATCTATACAAGTTCTGCTTCTGGTTGTGGTGATTCTCAACGCAATTTGCATGAGCACGACGCAACCTGACCAACCCCTCATAGTAGGTGCTAGCAATTCAGAGTGCAAGTTGCTTAAATTTCGCCGTTATATTAAACCGTGTCACTAGTCTTAAAAGCAGCTCGGAAGGAGCAGCACCGCGCTCGTCTTATTCTAGCTACACACACACACGTACACTGTCATTCATTGAGCACCAGCACGCGCGTGATGCGGGCGTTCGTGCACGCGCCTTATCGACTACAACGATTGAATCTTGCAGCTGCAACAGCACCAGCAATATCGACATTAGCAACTTCAATAGCAACCACAGCATCTGCAACAACAACAACAGCAGTAACAGCAGTAACATTATCATCAATAGCAACAACAACAACAGCAACCGCAGCGCCTACAAAAACAGAAGTGGCAACAGCAAAAGCATCATCAACAGAGCAACAACAACAGCAATCGCAGCGCCTACAACAACAGCAACCGCATTGCCTACAACAATAGAAGTAGCAACAGCATTAGCAGCAACATCAGCAGCAACATTTAGAAAGCAACTTCAACAACATTAACGAAAGCAATAACATTAGCACCAACTGACTATGTTTTTACGGCCGCAACCGATGATACGAGGACACATTTACGTCCTCATGTCTCGCGTCTACGCCCGCAACTGGTGGCGGCAAGCGCAGCACGCCCGCGGCAGAACCCTCTCCGCGGCTTCCCGAACCGGGCGGGGGTTGGTCACGGCCGTGAAAGGGAAAACAAAAATGATTAAGGACATTTGATTTTATTTGTGCCACATTAGCTTAATAATACTAGGACGCGGGGCATTTTTTTATGCTCGTGATTAAACGAGGCATTTTTATTTCCCCTAAATATATACACAAAATGGAGATATTTCTTTTACTTCCGCTCTAACTATCTGTCCTCCATTCCACAATCGGATATATCTTACATCATTACTTTTCTAATTTTCTCCTTTGTCAATGCATAAATTTCTGTTTGGCCGCCGCGACACGTTATATTACACAACTTGGCAATACGAATCTACAACATAAAATATGGACCGCAAGACGCCTTTTTAAACCAAATAGTCCATATGCAACACCTGCTGGAAGCTGAAGAGAAACTACGGCACCCCAGTCGTATTGAGTTACAACACATCGTCCACTACGATTAATTCGAATCCGTGATACGGTTTTGCGTCTGCTGACTGAGTGGCGATCATTACAGCATATACATGCTGGCATGGGCCAGACTTTAGTATAAAGGCACCCCGTCGACGGAGAGACGATTCCTTCTTTTACTGCACAGCCATGATCCATGGGAAGAAATCTAAACCAGGCTGGAGTCACTGGGCCAATGTCGTATCGTTGCCTTGCTGGTTAAGGCTGCATCAGACATCACGTACGGAGAAGCTACACGTCAACAGCGAGCAGCTTTGCGTGAATTAGCTTAAACCTTCCATGTTCAGATCTTATTCACCCACAACAATAGGGACTTCGTGACAAGAAACATGCCCCAGTAAAACCCTTCCTGGCACTATGACAATGCCCTATTCTGCTTAGATATTGTACAGCCTCGGCACGCATTGAACCCTGTATCCCAATGCTGCGTAGTTGACCGCGTGTGTGCGGTGGATAAGTTTTGTGCTAGCCAACCTTTGTTTACAGGTGAAAACACTGTAATGCATGGGCTAACGCGATGAGCGCTAATTGGGAAAAGGTTATGCGAAGCTCAACTTTGGTACACTGAAGCGATCATATGATCCACATGAGTGTATAGGAGCGAGTGTAGCTTTGTCAAGTGTCCACATCCAATGGAAGTTGCGGTTTGTGCTTCTGTATGCACTGCAGTCGTTTAACATAAACTATGAACGCCATGAAGTACAATGCCCATTTGAGCAAGCCGATTGATCATCATAACTACTTTTCATTAGTCGCCAGTATGTGTAAGAAAGCTATCATGCACGTAGGCGTGCGCTAGCTCATAGATCTCGGACAAGCTTGTGGGACGTCATGCTGATCAGAACAGTGACACGACGTTGCGGTGACAGAAGACGGCGAGGCCGAGCAGGATGATAAACGCTTGGAACCATAGAAAAGGCGACATCTGACATTGGATCCGCATCGCCATCTTGTTCACGTGCAGCTCTTTTTCCTCTTTGGTTCTACATGCTGCACAAGTGGGCGTGGCATCGAGTGGTAACGACAGGCGGTCCACGACTGCGTCACACCTCTTACAACTTGCTAGCCCGGGAACTTTACCGCTCGCGATATCGGCCTCCAGCTGCGCACGCTTCTCCTTCTCCTCCTTCTCGCGCCGAGCAGCCACGATCTGAGGTCCACGGATCAAGTTCAGGTACAGGAACAACAGCGAGTTCATGGCTTCAGCTTCTTGGAATGTTGTTTGTTCGTCACGACAATTCAGACTAATCCTGATGAGAGCCCGATTCTATGTCTATACTTAGTACCGGTACACTATACCGGTAGCCGCAAGCCTCGGTGACTCCATCACTCGACATAGAACAAAGCACGCAGAAAGTTTAGTGGAAGGACATAGCGCGCCCTACATAACTGAGAGGGCACAGAAGGCACGAGCGACGACGTCGGCGGTATCGGCGCAAACAACTGTTGTAGGTTGAACTCCGCCACTCGGCAAGTAGTTTGATGTAGACGGGCTACAACATGCGCGCAATCAGCATTTGCACACTTTCAGCAAAATGACCAAGTGGTTCACGGGTGAGGCCTTGGATAGGGCACTGTCATGACAAGGGCTCGGAGGATAGGTCGCTTGAAAACCGCTACGCGTGCCCGTGGCTTTTTTTTGGCGTTAGCGTTTCCGTACGGTATATTGCGCTGGTCTTGATATCAAGAAACTGGAAGCGTTCGACAGCAAGGCTAGATTCCATTACGTTGCTGTCCATGTGAAGAGCCGTAACGAACGGATAGTGCTGCGTCGAGGTCAAGAACGAGTCGTAAACGTTTATTCATATGAGGCAGATGCGTCGAAAGGCACCCATTCATCCAAGGGCAGCAGCATAGCATTTGTGATAGAAACACACATACCGTCCGACAAAAAAGGTATACGTCGAGATCCGTTAGATGTGAGTTTGCGGCGATGAGGCAGTATGTGCTGTCGGCATGGCTGGCAGAATCTGACTCCTTCTCCACATTTCTAACCGGTAGTCAAATTCTACGAGATTAATTTGGACGCACCGCACATTTCGTCGCTTTCACACAACCGCTAACGTGACCGACCGACCATTGAGGCGACCGTTCGTAGATATGGAGGTGATAGTGCTGGAGGACAGCAGCAGCAGTGACGAGTCAAGCGAAGGCACGATAGAGCGGGACTCAGCGTCTGGCACTCTAGGGGACCCCTCGAACCTGCACCAGAAGTACGCGCAACCTGCTGGCTACGTGAACGCAGTAGAAACGGCACTAGCAATTGCCGCAGCCTTGGAGACAACCGATATAGAAACGACCCGCAGCTCGGCTGGTAGACGGGGAAGGAGGAGAAGCGGTACTTGCGCACCAATGGCGCCGAAACAGCAGCACTCAAGGGCCAGGAGACGGTATAACGACGGAACAGGGAAACGGCCAAGACGTACCGAGAAGAATCGAAGCACCCGTTTGGACCAGGAAACTAATGATAGCCGCACGGCTCAATGGAGGCAGCAGTTTACAAAGTCGAGACAGTCGACGTCCAGTAGCTCGAGCTCTAGTTGTGAGGCTCGTCGGGATTCAAACCTGGAGCCTGCGGGCCGTTGCCATATCGTTGGTCGTATCGGAGGTAAAAGCGCGGATCAGGAGCAGACACGACCAAGCAAGCCCTCAATTACAGCAAAAAAAGGTGCGCTATGTCGACATCAAGCTACTTCTGCAACTGTCGAAAGGATGGACCCGTCAGAGGTCGTTGACTTGTTGTCATGCTCCTCCAGTTCTTCTGACTCGTCTGTCGTCCATGGCTTGTGCTCGCCATCGACGCGTCCACTTTCGTCTTTCGACTTGTTGCCGAGTAAGGCTACAAAAAAGCCTGTGACGATCAGGCGAAAGCGATCCGTACTGAACGATCGCGACTCAAAGAGAAGAAAGCCAAGCGTAATTGGCACTCTTTCCGTGGAGAGCACTACCTCAAGAAGTCATGGACAACTATTGCCTAGTGCAAGTAATGATGAAGAAGTGTTACAGACTGGCAAGCGTAAACGCGTGCAGCGACCGATGCATGAAGGGTGCGATATTGAAGCAAAACAACCAGACAGAGCGCTTATTGGTCGTACAACAAAGAAGAGAGATGAAGCTATCACGAATGATCAACGACGTAAGACGACTGGATCGAGCCCCACGGTCGCGAACGAAACTGCTTCACACTCTCTTCTTTTGTCGTCATCGTCATCGGTGTCAGCATCTTCTTCGCCAGTTTCATTGCCAAGACCCCTGGCGTCTCGAAAACCCGTGAAAAAGCCGTCTACATCGTCGCGATTGACGGGACGAGTGCGGGAAGAAGAGATCGGCAACACGGGACGATATCGCTGCGGCAAATCTGTGGCTGCAAGTACCATACCTTGGAGCAATGCGGGCTCGGCCTTGCCAGCTCTTGCGTCTGAAGTGTCTGTCAGTCCTCTGACTTCGCTGTCACCATCGCCGCCGCTATCACTGAGGAGGAAACGACGGGTGCTTACCGGATTCATTGCAGACCGGGTGACGATTGACGACTTGCAGGCACAAGAGCGAGAGCTGGCGTGGATTCGAGCGCAGCGTAAGCAGACGCAGAACGGATCTCGTTCTTCAAAACCTGCTATCAAAAGGTGGCGTAGAACACATCGCGGTGATTTGTCGGGTGTACACGGTGCATCTTTCTCGGTGGAACCAAAGTGTGGCGATAAAAAGCAAGATGCGAGCGAAGCGCTACCATCGGGTGCTGCTAGGCGACTTCTTGCTGCAGGTGATCACAGAGCGATGCTGCATACCACATCGTACCGCGGTGTCTTTTTCACTAGCAGCCCGTCAAACATTCTGTGTGACCAAGAATGCAGTGCGCCGTATGATTCTGATTGCGACAGGCCGCTTACCTATTACGGTAAGCTTGTGACAGTTCAGTTAGCTCTTGCAATTTGTTGTTGTTGCATCGTGCTGCCTCCTCGATTTGACGATAGTTCGTTGTTTTGCTGACGCTGTCTCGGCTGCTTCTCTAGATGACACTGATACACTGGCTACCCGCTGTTCGATCTTAGAAAGCTTTGGCAAGACACGACGAAGTTTCTCATCCGTGTTTCCTGACAAAATGGCTCAATCACAAAGTGATGTTAGTAGCTCAGTGATATCTTTGGTTGCCACACATCTTCCAACCATTCGCCGATGTTATCAGCGAAAGGTGCGAGCTATTCTATCAGAGGCCCGCCAGAAGATCAATAGGAGCCATGTGGCACGAAGGAAGTCCAGGGTAAAAGGTGCTTTCAGCAGTACGGACGCAGCAGAGTATGAAGGTCTTTTCCTCAGAGTGGACTTGCTAACGATACGGTGTACATTGTTGATATAGGACTGGCGTCACATTCGCTGATTCGCTCCCTAGCAGAGACACGCGCTGTTAAGCAACTCAACGTCGTAAAGCACACGCGTAGTTTGAGCGGTGTCGGGAGCATCTCGTTTCAGATCGGCCAAGGTGATGTGCTTGTCCAAGACCAGACTATGTCGGCGCTGCTCGACGTTAACTATATCGGAGAAAGCTGCTGTCTGCAGAAATATACGACGAGCATCGGGGTGTGCGCTAGTTATCGTGTTGAGGACGACCCAATCTTCCACTATACGACTCGCCGACAGCCGGGTGCAATGACTAGCGGGAATGACGAGGGCGGGCTGGCAAAGAAGCACGAACTATGGGCGAGACATGTGGCTGACGATGAAGTAGCAGAGTACGTGCTGCGATTGGTCGTAGGCTGTCTTGGTGATTCGGAGGAGGTATTTCATGCACTGAAGACTGAGCTCAACTTCTCTCACGCATACACGGCATACAGCGAGCTAAAGAAGTTGCACGACTCAAGGCAGCGAACGCGCGCAAGACTGGATCAAGTTGGCAAGCTTTGTCGTGATGAAAAGCGCGCGGCGGATCCGGGCGTTGCGGCTATCGTCAAGTTGATGGAGCAGTCACGGCTGTCTTGGGCCAACCGCACGGCAGCCTTCGATCAACGCTTGCAGCCACCGATCAGCAGCCTCGAGTCCAACCTTATCGATAGTCTCGTGAAAAGCGAATCGGCTGGCATGGCAGGGCTGGGGTTGCGCGTGACAGACTCTTATGACGAGCTGGTAAATGTGTATTGTGGCTCGTTTTGTCGGATGTGCTACACATATACTTGCCACGAGCATGGCTGGGATCACCCGCTGCCGATCAGACGCGTAGATCCCGTGTACCCTCGTGTTCAGTTTGTGCCGCACCTGCCTGTACCTAATGAAGCATCACCTTCTCTGGCTTCTTCGGATGAAGACGTGATTTATCTGGGGAGCAAAGTATCAGGACAGCCAAGAGCTGCAGATTTTACAGCGGATAGGAGTACCCGCCGTGACGAATCGCTGCAACGTGTGGCCGAATTGCACCAAAGCCGGTGCGATATCGGCAGTGATGAAGATTCAGTAAGTGGTGTCAAAAGACCTCAGCGACGGCGATACAATACGCAAGATGATCCGTCCGAGTACATTGACACCTCACTTATACCGCTCGTGGTGGCAAAGATGCGTTTGTGTCTTTCGACGCGAAGGGCGTGTGGCAAATTGTGCTGGAAAAATGGCGGCGTCATCGGTAATTGGCGGGCCAAGTTGTCACCAGCGGAGATGGCTTTGATTCGAAAGCTCCGAGAGGTGACGGGCGATAACCCGTGCGTGCTGGCGGCTGTGGTCGGCGGTTTGGCCAGTTGTACAGAACTACGCGATTTGATGAAGCAAGAGGTTGATACCGACGAACATTTAGCAGCTAACGGCGCAGGGAGAGTGAGGCGTCATGTACAAAATTGGAAGCAGGGGTGGACATCAAGCGGGAAAAATTATAAGTTGCTACAGAGCACTCGAGATCAGCGATTGCAGGACCGAGGAACAGGGAACCACGAGTACAAACCTTGCATGCATCAAGGCATGTGCGACACCGCTGGCTGCTCGTGCATGAAACGCGATCATATGTGCGAGAAGGCATGCGCGTGCTCTCGCGATTGTCCCAACAGGTACGTCCGATATGTCAATAGAAGGATGAAGTGTTTTGGACTGGTGCAACAATTTGCGATATTAAGCTCTGGCGACCAGATTGCCGTCGTAGAACAGGTTGATGAAAAGCTATTTGATGTGCTAACTGGGTGCTTCGTGTTGGTAGATTTGAAGGGTGTACCTGTGCGCCTGGTGAATGCCGTACTAGTAACTGCCCATGTTTTATGGCTCTGCGCGAGTGTGATCCTGACGTTTGCGTGGCATGCGGTGCCAGCGAATTGGCAGTGCGCAGACGTCCGCAGTCAACTTGTGACAACGTAAACGTGATTGGAGGCAACCACAAACGACTGGGCATGAGCTTTTCCTCTGTTCACGGTTATGGTGTATATGCACGAGAAGCAATTGCAGCAAACGAGTTTGTATACGAATATACTGGCGCGATGATCTCGCAAAGCGAGGCGGAGCGCCGTGGTCTGATCTACGACAAGATGGAGACAAGCTATTTGTTTGATCTGAATGAGGACTTGGTGCTGGATGCCATTCGTTCCGGTAACAAGAGCAAGTTTATTAATCACGAAGGAGATACACCAAACTGTACGGCAAAGGTAGTTAGCGTGTGTGGTGTGCACCACATCACGATTTGGACACTGAGCGATATCGCGGCTGGGGAGGAGTTGACTTTCGATTATCGATACAACCAGAGCGTTGGTCCGGACTGGAGTCAGCGTCGAGAACAGCTGGGGAATACCGCTCCGATACGCGCAGAGTCGTGATCGCTGTTCGTGTCGTGACCCGTTGTTCTGGACTATAGTACTGCGCGACCTCGTTTTGACGACGCATGGCTCAATGTCGGGTTGGCCTTCCACCTAAAAGTTTGCCTTCGATTACGTGCATGAGGCGACGTAAGTAAATGGTACACGAAATGAGCGTGGACGATCTTTAGTCATGTGGTGGATAGAGATTGGTAATGGAGACGTTTGACGATGACGTGCCGGCGAAGGTCGTGCCCGAAATGAAGCAATGATCTCGATACACCCGGTCCATCTAGTGGAAGCAGAAGTTTCGAATATCATGAGTGCTCGTCGACCCGGATCGAAGCGGGCGCACTTCAATTCTCGTATCAGAATGTGGACAGAGCTGGTGTGACGTACTGAACTCGAGCGTTGGTCTTGTGACCCAGCATGAGGAAAGAAATGTATTCACGATGTGAATGTCACTTCGGAGGAAATACGTTTCATTACACTGTTATCCAACGATAGGCCTTCTACCGTACCTCACTCGACAACGGCATAAAGGGTCAAATAGGATCAAAATTCAAATGGTGACCCGAAGGGATGAGGGTGAGTGAGAAAAAATGAGTGAGGGGCCATATAAAATGAGAAAGTGGATCCAGTAAAAGTCACTAAGTGAACCTCAAATCCCAAGGAAGCGTGAACGACGAGTGGAAAGTCGAGTGAAGATTGTCTGGAGAAAGTGGAGACAAACCTCGAAAGTCAGAAGAGCCCAGATGGTGCCTTTAGCACACAAATTGTTTCATGTCTTTTCAGTTCAATGATCAGATGCCACGAGTTAGCGTTGACGGCGCGGGCTCGAATCCCTCACACGACAAAAACCTGACCGCTAGAACTGCTTGCGATAACATCTTCGGGTGCGGTAGTGTGGTAGCAGTTAATTGGCCCTGCTACGAAAACGAGCGTCCGTTCCCCAAGCTAGCTTGGGTGGTCGCACTGAAAATCTTCCGATGAAGGTGGCCGATAGTAGCCAACGGTAGTAGCCGGATGCGTTAGGGGTACAGCACAACGGGCGTACCCAGATCCCCCAACATGAATTCGCAATAAGTGACTTAAATCGGCGTTAGTCGTGACGACAAACAGGCGCGGATAGCAAATCAGTACGATCCAAAAGATGTAAAATCGTCATAGGAAAGGTCCAAGATATAGTTAACTGCAAAAGGCGAGAGGCAACAGGCAAATATAAAATGCGAGAGGACACAACTGGATACTGTCGCAAGGCCAAAGTGCAGGGGAAATAGTCAAAGGCTCATGACGGAACAATCTGAGCTAGCTTAGACCGGTATAGGGTCTCACAGCGGTGGGGCGACGGTAAAGAAGAGTCAACCATAACCGGAATAGGAACTAAACGATAAATTGCGTTACGCCAATTTGACAATGTGGCAAGGGACAGCCTCCCAAAACTGCATTACCAGGTCAATCTAGCGAGGCGTCAAGATGGAATAAACCGGAAGGCCGAAATAGCCGTAGATGTAGAGCCGAAAGCAAAGTGTGGAGTTGCCGCAGTGTTAAGCTCGAATGGCGAAAGCTGCAGCTTGCCAAGTCTTGAGAAACCCACGCCATATGGGTGTTATCAACAGCGTAAATATGAGTCTGAATACCGAAAAGGTTCGTTGCGGCTTCATTAAAGCGAATACCATTCCGACGGATCCAAAAACAACGAAATGTGACTTCCCGAACAATATGAAAAACTACGAAAAGGATGTAGCCATACGCCTGTTGCGCAGCCAGTGTCGGCTTCACATGAAAGAGAAGCAGCGATATCCATTTATAAAAGGTAAAATAAACGTAGGTGTCAAACGATCAACCTATCGGGATTAGACGTCAGCCGCAAAGCAACAGCACCAAACTAGGTGGGTTCCGTCTCCAAAACACCACACGTATGACGACAGAGAATGGCAGACCCGGAAAGGTGTTGTAATCGCCATCCTGCTGGATACAGAAAAGGAAGGCGGTGTATACAGGTAGTAGATGATTTCCCATTTCCAAGACGCGACTGCACAAATCTGGCGGTGAACCCAAGTCTAGGCCCAGCATGACAACGGCAACACGGGGGTGGCAGGTTTGACGATAAGTTCCCGAATGTGCGCCACGCTAAGTTCAGCCAATTCAAAAGCATCAATACGCCAGCAATGAAAGGCGCATTCAATATGGGTGTTTGAACCGGGCCGATAGGGTGAATTTGTAAAGGCTCCAACAAGATGTGAGCACGAGTAAAAAAACAGAGCAAGCTCCGATACCGGAGAATCGACTGTGATTGAATGAGCGGAGAAAGAGGGAAAGTTTAGACCCCGTAAACGAAGTTTCACAAGCCCTAAAAAATCACAGGGCCGATAAAGACCGAGCTCGGCTAGCAGTGGCGTCATTACTGGCCGCCAAAAATTTCCAGCCAAAAAGCGCTTAGTCGCCTCTGTTAAACATCGGTATGATCAATTTGTCAAAATTTAGAATTAAAGCAGATCACCTTCGGACGTAGATGAGTATGCCAGAGAAAGAGTGTCGAATTCCATTGGGACCCGAGTGCTGACCAGCAGCGAGGTGTAGAATAGAGTGTAAAACTGGGGCCGGTCGTAATGGGCGACTACAACATGTCGAGATCCCGTCCCCAAGGAGCGATAGCGTGCTCAAACAGACGGTTGACAGGTTCTACCCACGTTGAAATGTCAATGAAAGAGTGATCCTGGCCACCAGAATAACTTTGTATATCATATGGGCATGTAAGCTGTGTACCATGTCGCAGATCTTAATAAGGCCTAAGCCTCCTTGCCCAGGAGTTAAAAAATCACCATTCTTTTGACAAAGCAATTTTGGGCTGTAATTTAAAAAAGCGAGATACAAGAAAGATGGCTTGGTTTCGGGACACAGTCGCTGGAAAGTGAAAGAAGCTGGTCGAGTACCGCAAAATGGCTAAAAGACCTGATGTAAAAGGACCACTTGACCACGAAGAGTCGTGCGCGGTAGGACCAAAGAGAACCGCGCGTCTGCATTTCATCGAGCAAATGTTGAAGCCGGGCGTTATGACAGAGCTGAAGTCCGTAATAAATCCCAGGTAACTTGGTCCGCCCAGAATTACCCACAACTTCAAATCCTAATTGCTCGAGATCCAGACATAGAGGCTCGGAAGACTAAGACCAGGGTCGAAATAGCAGCACCACTTTCTTAGCTTCATTAAGCCGCATGCCGGTTGCCGAACAAAAGATCTCTATGTAAAAAAATTACATGGTGTGGCGGAGATCGTGCAGAATACCGGCATAATCGTTTCAAAACTGATTACCGAATGGGCGAAAGACCCTCACAAAATTCCTTTATCGTGAAGATTGACACAAATATAGTTCAGTAAAGGCCCACTAAAGAGGAAGAATAACGCCGGCGACAGGGGGTCGCCCCGGCTAACTCCAGCCCCTAGTTCAAACGAAGCCAATGGGTGTGCATTTAATAGCAAAGAAATATGTGTTCCGTGATAAAGACTCGAATCCAGCGCCGCAAGGTATGCCTTAACTCAAAAGTGCATAAGTACCATGTTCAAAGCTGCTTAAACGAAGCTATCAAAATGATGGCAAAATCCAGTAAAAAGCCCTACACGGTGACGTGTAATTTGATAGATAGCTTATTGTTCTTGGAAACGAATACGGGAGTGTCAAATATCGCTGCCCGGCAAAAACCCTTACTGATCAGAATGCAAGAGAGAGCTCAAATGCCGATGGAGCTGGTGACATTTTTTGGGGTCTGATTTAGCTTCCACATTGAGGAGGGAAATAGGACGATAGTTGCTTGTACTTTGCGGTCGCCCTTCTTACACCGCAGCGAAACTTGCGTTCGCAGATGGAACTTTGTCATCTGTCCCTGATGAAATTGGACACCGAAGATCACCTCGGAAATACGGCTTCTAAGGGTTCAGTCAACGTGGTATCAATCCGAAGGCAAGCCATCCGGATCTGGGATCTTACTGATCACCTCGGGTTTGAAAGGCCAATGAAATCGCTTGGTGTCAAGGGGCTGTCCCAGTAAGCCCGGCTCGCTGGGTTCAGTCTTTGCTTTGTATGCTGTAACAGCCGAGAAAGTTCCAAGCGGCCCCAAGTGGGTCGCGCATACTGATTTTCTCAGAGAGTCAAACAGTAGACATCAGACCAATAGTTGTTCGATGTAGAACAGATTCATTCAATTTTCGGCCGAGTCCACCGGAATAGGTGGGTTGTGTTGAACTTATTAAGGTCGGAAGAAAATTTGGAGCAACGCTTAGTAGCCTGAGCGTCGGAGGCTAATTTGTGCTTAAAAGCGAACTGCGCGTATTCCCCTAATTCTTGTGTTAGGGTAGCCTTATCATGCGCAATAGCGGCTGAAAGGTCCACCGAAGCGTCCAATACCTGCCGGTACTGAAGTCGGTTGGCGGTTAGGTGTAAATTAAAACTAGCACGTTGACGTGCATTCTTCTGAGTGTGAAATAGTTCCCGAAGAAAAATAGCGTCGTGTCTTTTATGCTCATCGAGCAAGCATCCAGGATTATAGAGACGCAGCCATCAATTAAATGACGCGGTAAGTCGGAGTAAGGAAGTGCGTATATAGTATCGAGCCTCGGGCAATGGGATAAAAGATGGAGGAAATTTCTAAGGGTCCATCCGGATGGCTTAAAATCACTGAAGCCTAGACGAACGGATAGACTAACGTGGTCTCCCACGTCAGACTGAGCCATGATACTTTACATTATAGAAAATATCATGTAACATGGAGTCGATAATTCACAAAAACATAGTCAATTCGAGAAGCACAGGTCGGGATGGAAAACATCCAAACTTCGGGATGCTGAAATTGCCAAAGATCGACCAATCGTAACGTTGTCATTTAACCAAGAAGCTCGTCCCAGCCTTGGTGTTGATCCCGATTGTGCGAACGGATCTGATCAAGTTGACTGGAAAAACTGTATCAAAGATCTCCAAAACAATATGATGGGCGTGGTCCTCGAAGTGACGGGATGGAGCTGGAAA